ATTTGAATATTTGTTTTTTTATCTATATTTGTACCTTGTTCGACAACTACATATTGAATTTTTGTATTATTATGCTACTTATGTGAAATTATATAAACATATTTTTTTTTATAAATATTTTTTTCTCAAACAAACGCGGGTAATGGGTACAAGACGGGTATGCGGGTACCCAGAGGATACGGGTATGCGGGATTAATGTTCATACCCACGCGGGTATGGGGCTGGGTACGGGTATTTTTTTAAAACGCGGGTATGGGGATGGGTAGTATAGTACCCTACCCATACCCTACCCATTGCCATCCCTACCATCAACTCCCACTAACGTCACATGTACGGTAGAAAAATAAAATCATCTTTTATATATATATATATATATATATATATTTTATTCGCATCTCTCTGTGTATATATTATTAAAACAATAAACTTAATTTAATAACATTAAATATCATAATAAAATAAATTTTTTATATATTTATTAAACAATAAAATTTTATTTTAAATTCTTTTTAATTTAAATTACATATATTTTTTATTAAATAAATGATGTTCAAGTCAAATTGAAATGACGATAAATTTTTTTTAAGTTACTCAAAATTATAATTAAAATAAAATAATTCTTTAACATTATTGTGCGTTGTAATTATTTATTTTTATTTGTTCGTTATAATTAAATATATAAATTTAAATAATTATTAATATATTATTTTTCTTAATTTTTAAAATTTTTTTTATAGTTATTTTATATTTATATTTTTTTCTCTCATGATTATTTGAGAATTAAGTACATAAGTAGTTTTTTGGTAAAGTATAATTAATATTATTATTTTTGTGTGTGAATATTATCTTAAATTTTGAAAAAGATAAAAATATTATTTTTAAGTAAAGAGATATATAATAGAAAAGACAGAAAGTATTAAATAATTCCTGCAATTTTTGTTGGTTGATATTATGCGATTTATTTTGTCCTTGTTTTGAGCGCTCAAAGATTCTCTCCTGTTTTATCTTTATACGACTATTTATTTGGATTTATTTAATAATTAATGTATTTTTCTTTGGCACAAACTTTTGGACCACTACTTCTGCTTCGGAATCATTCAGGTTTCCACCAGCAAAACGGATTATTGTTAAAAAATAAAACATTGTTCCATTAGAAAAATAAAACATTGTTCCATTAGAAAAATAGTTTTGACAATTGCCCTATCTCTTTTATATATATGTTCATCAGTTAATTAAACACAAAAAATAATATAAAATTATTTAAATCTTGAATAAGTGGATCATTAATTAAATCACTATATATTAATTTTAAACCAACAGAATTCCAAAATGCTCATAGCATTAGTATATATAATTTTAAAAGTATATATTTGACAATTGAATAGGGATATGTGTTTAGTTTATAAATAATTTATGAAATCATGATATATTTTTTATAAGTTATTTTAATAAGTTTATTTGTACAATTAATTATAATACGTTATTCTTAACGTATTTTACCAAATTTTATTTTTAAATTCATAGCACAAGTTATTATTTTAAAGAATTTTATTAAATAATTGCTATCCAAATATACCCATTCTCTTATCCCAACGGTGACGAGTTAGTATGGAAGCACAATGGATGCAAATATAAAATGCAGATGCAGCAAACGCAGAGAAAAAAATGCAACAGACGTTTAAAATAATAGAGCCCCGAATGACAAAGCAGTAGAAAGAGATGAAGTTACCTCAACAGAGCAAAGAACAAGACACTATCCCAAAAGAATGCACAGAGCATGAGTGTCAAAGATGAAACCTAGCCAATTAGGGATTTTGGTTTCAAATTTCAGCATTTCACAATTTTTGAATGTTCTGATCAAATGCAGCAAAAAAAGAAAAAAATAAAATGCATGACCTGTTTAGTTTAATCAGTATTTGAGCTTCAAACTAATAAACTACTTGATTTTATGTTGACAAGTGAAGGTATAGATCCAAATCCTCGTAGTGTTAAAGTTATAATTGAAATACAGAGCTGAGAAAGTGCCAAGGAGTTCAAAGATTAGCTGGATGACTTGTTTCTCTCTTAGGTTCTTTTCCTGGTTTGTCAACAAATCCATGCCATTCTCCAAAATATGTAGATTTGTTTGCTTTCAACCAAGCTATCAGCTTAGTCATTTCTCAATATGTAGGATGAAACTAAATACCATATACTTTGTTACTAGGATTCTATAAATGGTTGAGATGATGTTATTGGGAGCAGAAAAGAGTCTTGTTCGGCACTCTTGAATACATGAACTTTGATAAAATCGTAAATTTTTATGTTTATAATTTTTAGATGAACAAAATTGTAACTAGTAAATAAATATAAAATAAAAGTTTTTTTATTTATAATATGTTTGTTTATCTCTTCTTTATTTAAAATATGTTGATGTGAGATTTAAATGGATAATTCACTTTACTCCCTACGAATGTATCAATAAACAATTTATCAATTTAAATAACTTCTTCTCCTCCAATATTCATGTATATACTTCCACATTATTCTTGTAGTATTCCTCTTTCTTAGTTTGATCTATGACTTTCTTTAATTTGAGTCAGGTAAAATAACAATGAACAGTAAAAATCTTTTTTTAATATATATATTTAACACATTTTTATTTTTTGAAATTTAAATTTAAAACTATCACGGTGGTTTAAAAATTTACTTTTAACTTGTTATTTTGTTTTATTTTTTGATTTGAAGTTGTCCTTTTATTTGTTGGTTTGAAATTCTAATTACAACACTATTTTGTTCTATTTTCTAGTTTGAAAATTTTCTTTTGTTCTATGGAGTGCACATTAATTTTTTTTATTACATCATATTTATTGAATTTTATTTACAATTTTAAAATACTTATAAATTGTGTGAATTATTTTATGTAAAATTACGGATATTATAATAAATATGTATGTAACCAGTGTTTTAATTGATTCACTGACGGGTTCAGTTCAAAAAATCACTTTTAAACCATTCATGCTCAATTTACTTTTACCCTTTGTATTTTCTAATTGTTTTAATATTTAATTAATTAGTTGATGATAAATACATAAACATTTAATTATTTAATTAATCATTTTCCAATAAATAAATATATTATTTAATTAATTGGTTGACAATAAATAATATTTAACTATTTAAACAATTGGTTGATGTTAAATAAAAACAAAAAACAATTAAATAAATAAATAAATAAAAATAAATAATAATTTTTATTAAATAATTGATAATAAATAAATACATGTCTTTTTTAACCATTTAATATATTTCTGTTAACTGTACAAGTAATTTCATTAAATAATTCTAATTTAATCAATTAATTATAAATTATAAACTACAAACTTTCAGTTTCAAAATCTAGATCAACATGAATTTATAAATCTATGGTTTAGATCCACATTAATCTTTATAAAGATAAATAAATATTTTACAAATATATTATAATTGTGTTATTTATGTGTTTTGTTTCACTACGTTACATATTATTTTTGTCAAACTTAATATAGCTTTGTGAAATTTCATTCTCATTAGAAAAAAAAAAACGTTTTATTAACATTTTAGTTTTCTTCATATAATAACTAATATAGGATGAAAAAAAATGAAATAATGTTAAGTTTAATTATATATAGGTACCCTGTGCAAAGCGGGGACACTAAGATAAGACCAGGAGTTACATGCTCTATGATGAAACTGCAATGTGTGAACGGGGATAGTTTCAAGTTGCTCACAGATCACCAAACCCACGATAGCAACATGCATGTCAATATCACATGTATTATGATACATCAAACCTCGTTGATAATTGCTTTCGTTTTCGGGTTGCAATTTTCTTCTTCTTTTCCCTAAAATAAGGTTAGAGATAATGAAACGGCGAGAGTAATTATTGCACATATTGGCATATTCCCAAATTATTTTAGAATATTACACACAATTCTGTGTTCTGTGTTCCTTTTTACCACAAACACATAACGTTGATGGAATCCCCCCGTAAAGAGCCGTAACCTTCCGCTTAGCATAGCCTTGAGTTTATAGGGTGTGAATTAAACCACCGTCCACTTCACAGAGCAGTTAACATATGACAATGACTCATGAGAAGCATTTACCCAACTCAGCTAAACGAACAATGTGTACTGTGCTCTTTTTTCGTGCGTTCTTTCACGTTACTTGTCGTGGCCTCTTGGGCTTGCCTGCACAAGTTGTGCACAACCATACCCATCTTACTTTCCAATAAATTTTTGGCCCTTCAAACTTCCTTCGATCACCTTTTGCTTATCGATAATTAAAGAGACTGGAACTTTAAATTAGTCCTTAAAAAGAGTCTTTATTTAGTTTTGGTCTAGACTATAAAATTTGCATAATTTATTGTTTATTTTAATTTCAATGTTTTTAATTATGTGAATTAATGTGATAAGTTAAATGTTTTTAATTATGTGAATTAATAATGTTAAAATATAAAATAATTAATTTTAAACACATTTCTAATAAAGTATTTCATTACACTTAAAATATTATGTCTGGATTAATGAATTCTAATAAAAAAATTTAAAAATAATGACAAGATGTACACTCTTGAATTAATTCTTATTTGTCCAAATTTTTTTTTTTTGGAGTATTCCTATTTTTTAACGATTAAAATAAAATTTTACTCACTTGAAGATAAACGATAGATTGAAAAAGCTATGAATTCACAAAGAAATAATAATGACAGAGAGAAAGACTGCTTAATAAACATACGCATATCTTCCATTCGGATTTTGCGTTTAAAGCGTGAAGGCAAAAGATGAGGATGCTTTATTGCTCAAATTTATAATTTCATCATCTAAAATTGCAAAACCACTACCAAAGTACCATATATACATTCTCAAATCTCAATAATCTCTCTCAATCTTGATGGAGAGCTTAATCCAATGAAAGGATTCATGACATAATCTAACATCTAATAAAAATTACAACGATTTTCCTTTTCTTTTTCTATTTTTTTATTTATTTTCCTATTACCAGACACGAATACAGCTGGAGTTGTTGTACCATGATTCCCTTTCTAAAGAGAGACCCCCAAACCTCAACTCACTATCCCATAATCTTACAACGTTGCCGTTAAGCTCCGTCACGTCCTGCCACATGTACCATCCGTTATCGTTCTCCCCGTTTCTCAACCGCAACAACCTCTCCCACCTCTTCCACCACTCTGATTCCGACCCCTCTCTCTCCTCCCACTCTCCTAACGCCGTCAAGAACCCCTCACTCTCCCCGCACCCGCATTGCATCTCCTCCTCTTCGTAATACACTGTAAACTTCCCCTTCCTCACGCCGTCAACATCCTCTGGGACACCGTGGCCAACCGCCATTTGCGGCGTTGCCTCGTGTTTTGCTTCCGTTGCCTCATGGGGCGTTAACGTCTCAACAACCGGGTCGAGTCCTATAGAGATTGGTTCATCGGGTTTGGGGCAACCTGCGGATCGAATCTTCCAGAAACTGAGTGCTGCGGTGAGGAGAGCTACCCAGGTCCATAAATTGTTGAGGGCTGTGAGCAAACCGAAGCTCAAGTAGTTGAAGGCCAGAGCCTCCACATTAGAATCCAACACGTTCATTTTTTCTTTCTTTCTTTCTATCTCTCTATGAGATGAATTTGATTATGGAAGAGGCAGTGGAGAGAAGAGATTTAAGGGGTGGAGGAAGAGACAAATGAGGATAGGATCTCTAGTAAGATGCCAGAATGATAACTTTGATGCCATTTCTTTATGATGCCATCTCTCTCTCTCATCACTGTTCACAATAAATAAATAAAATTAATTGTTTGGATTAAAATAATATATAATAATACCTTGTTGTTGAGTAACACGTGTATGGTTAACAATCTGTCTCCGTCCCATTTTCGTCGCCTGCGCTGTGCTCACTGCTAAGCTCAGTGAGTGAAAATTTAAATTACTCCCATGTAAATTTATTAATAATACTCAGTTTTTAATGAATTTTTTTCAATCCAGTTTGAAATAGGAAAATTTATCTGTCTTCTTAGAATTTATATTTCTTTTCTTGAAAAATTAATATTTTCTTTTGTAAATTAATTAATTAATTTTTAAAAATTAAAAAAAGAAAAAATTACTAAATAAGGAAATGTAACTGAAAAAATTATTTATTATAAGAGTATTAAAAATTATTCTTAAAAGTAACAAGTTTTTATTAAAATTGAAAATATTAATTATATTAAAAATATATAATACAATGTATTTTAAAAATAAAATATTACTATTATTAATTACTTAAACAAATTATAAGAATTAATGTTAACATTTTTTATTCTTAAATAAACTAGTTGGATAATTATAATATTATATTACATGTTATGCCGAATTGGATTTATGGAGTTGAGAAGGAACTACAGCACCGAGTAGTTATAATCTCATAGTATAATATATAATTAAGAGAAATTATTAAAAAAAAGGGAGATTTTGTAAAAGAAGTAAAATGAAAGAAAGAGATAGAGGGGGTGTGGGGGGAAGTAATTACACGTGGCTACACATAAGGGGTGAGTGGGAATGTTTTTGACATGATAAGTAATGGTTTTGGTGTTGGTGGACTTGCGTCAGCATATTAGAAAGCAATATTGTAGGAATAGTTAATTAATCCAATTAGAATGAATGCAATACATAATTACCTATGGATTATGATTCCATAGCGTGTTCCCCATGCCATTCATTCATGCTAAATCCTGTCTTCCCAATTTAAATTTACTCACTCAAGACATTAACTGATATAACCTCTATCTCTATCTATCTATTTAATCAAAATAACTATATAATTTTAAATATTTATTTAATTTATTCTTTAATTAGTAGTTTTTTTATTCCCAGTCTATTTAAATAATATAAATATAATATATGTTCTCATTTATTTAGAAAGGAAAGAATTTTTTATTCGTATTTATCTGTTCATGAATAAATTTAAGATAAAATTAATCATTATTGGTTTATTAAATTATTTATTTATTTAAAATATTTATACCATTTAAGAAGTTTAAAAATTACATATGCATTAATAAATAATAAATAATTAAATGATCAATTAATTTTAGTAAAATAATTAAAGCTTATTATTTGTGTATTTTTTTCAAACAAATAAAAAGAACCGAGGTAGTATTTAATTTTATATCGATAAAAGTATATAAGTAGAACAATAGCATAACATTGAATTTTGATATTTATAAAAAAAATTTGAAATACTATAATTACGTTTTGTTTTAATTTCATAAAATAAAGTTTTATATTGAAAAAGTCAAGTTGAAATCCATTTATAATCGCGACAACAAAAATACATGCAATAGTAATAGGGGATGATAAGAAAATATGCGAGAGAAAAAAGAAAAAAGAAAACTTTAGTGCATGTAATTGTAGTAATAAGCTAGAAAGTAATAACACTTTCACGCCTCTCTCATACCCAAATATTTAAAGAAGATGTTAGATAGAGGATATTAAACTCTGAAGAACCATGGATGGAACAATAAATAATGTTCAAGCTTGAACAAACAAAAAGTTGAAGTGGAGGTGAATTTCTATTGACCAGGAACAAAAACTTTCAAGATCCATGGATAAAAGCCCATTTGTGTTTTGGACTCGAAACTAATTGCTAATTCTAATGGCACTGGACTATGAAAAATTGAAAATAGAAGAGATCTAAGAAAAGTTATGCATTTTGAGCCTTTATAACCCGAAATGTATATTGATTCTCTAAATATAATATTGACATAAATTTAATAAGTAGTTGGAAAAAAAAAAAAAAGCTGTCGCAAGAAATTGTGTCTATGTATATTTTGAAGTTTTTGATAATTTTATATTGGCTGAAATTTATTCCATGTATATGACTAGATTTGCAATGAATAATTTTCATTAGAGTTGAAATATGCAGCTAAAAGAGTCTATCAATAATATGGTGCACTTCTTAGGACTATTTTAATGTTGGCTTGCATTTGTTATGACTAGTGACAACATTAAAAAAAAGAAGAAGAAGGAAAATTTAAGATATATATTTAAAAAATCAGAGTTTTATAATTCATATTTTATCTTAAAAAATAAAAAACTAACGCAGCGAGCAAACGGAACCAAAAACATAAAAGAAAAAGGCCACAAAAGAGTAACAAAAAAGTTCAAGCTCCAAAGTCTCACTCCATCTAAATAACATAAAAATCCCAACTTTCAGAAGTAATAGCATAGTCTCACACTTCTGAAGAAATGCATTCAGAACTGACAAACCAAAAAAAGACAAGGCTCATGTAACAACAACTTCAAGACAAGAAAAGAAAAGAGCTTTCTCTCCTCTCATGATCACATAATGCTGCAAGTATACAGACATGTTTATCTCTTATTATTTATAAAAAACAAATCAGTGTCAATACTCTTCATCTATAAGACGTATGTCTTCACTCAAGTATTCCTATACAATAACAGCATTCTGGCACAGTAGCTCAAATACATATAGAACACTGATGACACCCTCTTTAGCAGAAAACATAGAATCCTAGGCTTGAGAACACAATAACCATGGTATCACCAATCTCACACTTGCCACTTCTATTCCTCCTAGTTTCAGTTTTATTGACAAATTCAGCTTCAATTCAATAAAGTTTTGTCCAATGTCTCAACAAGAATTCAGACAGAATATTTTCATTTGATTCTTATTTTCAATAAATGATGTTTATTATATCGATATATGCTAAGCTGCCCCTTACAAATTTTACGCTCTGCATAATAATGGGACTTATTGGGAGGAGACCCGAATTTAGTCAAGGCACATAGAACATAAGATAGATCAATAATTCAAAGCTAAGGCAACAACTCTTCCTTTCAAACATCAAAATTGAAACATTTCTATTATTGTTTGATTTTTACAATTCAAACAACAAGTGGAAGTGAAAGTTGTCAATTCTAGGGGACTGGTATAGTCCCATGATGTTGAAAAAAAAAAAAAAAAGCTTGTTGGATCTCTATGCTTTAAACCGTCGTTCCCAAATGTTATGAAAAAAGCATAAACTAGAATATTTTTAGAATAAATATTTCATAAAAGCTATTAAGTATATTCTGGAAAAGATTAGTAAGATCTTTATAAAAGTTGCCTTAGAATAAATAAACATATTTTTAGTTTTAATATATATTAACATTGTTTACTGGGTAGGTGGATTAATTGAGGAAAATTGTTCTAACTTAATTTATAGTTTTAAGATTGAGTACTAATAAATGCATCTTTCTAAAACGTTATTTTGAGTCGATAAACAAATTTGATGTCGTCTCAATCGCAATTTACATTGATTTTTGGAACGCATGCAATAATCCAACGGATCAACGTAATAGTTTTGATATACAATATAGTTTTGCTTATATAGGAAGCCGAGATATTGTCGAAGGGATTGATAAGCTTCTCAAGTTAAAGTACAGCATACAATTAATTTATATGAAATTAAACTTCACAAATTACAGGGTTTGGAACCATAACAGAAAATTATGGATAGCAAAAGTAATACAAATTGTATTGTATATTAAAAAAACTAATTATTCTTATACTAGCAACTGAGCTGGTGCGGCAAAACGGGTATCTTAGACATTCATATTTCAAAAAAAAGTCAATGATAAAAATGAGAGATTAACCACAGTAAGAATAAAAAAAATTCTCAATTATATATGTTATATAACTTTCTTACCGAACTTTAATGCTTTTACACTGCAAGACTTGGAAACTACTTCTTTTTAAAAAATAATTACACACTTTAAGACTTGGAAGTTGACTTCCTATAATTAGTGGTTAATGTTTTCTTTAGAAATTTGATCCTAAATAAAGTAAGTATTTATTTATTTTATCTAGTTTAATCTAGATCTAATTTGAGTCACACACTTAAAATGATAAGTGAGTTTATTAATAGAGAATTTTTGCATATATAAAAATTTAAATCTAAAATTTTACTTAAATAATACTAAACTACTTGTTATTTAAGTTAACTTCGGTCGATAAAGTAGTAATCTTTTGGACTTGGATTACGAGAGACCATTAAATTTTTATCCTAAAAAAAGGACAGCACAAATGACTCACTTTTTTTTTTGATACTTTCTTTCTTCGTAATTTCTATGCCATTTTGACTGTCATTAAATCTTCAAAGAACTGTTGAAGCATTGTATGACAATTACTGCTACATACCAGAAAAATTAAGTATTAAACTTTGAGTGGGGGTGGGCGTAAACTTAAACAATTTCTTAGTCTAAAAAATATTAATAATTTAAATTTACAGTCCTCTTATTTATAATTCACTACTATTGGCTTGAACTTTTACTTTATTTTTTTAAAAAATCTCTACTTTAGACGCTTTCATTTTTTTAAGATACATATTTAATTTTTTTATTGATTTTATATCATATTAAAATTTGAATGCAAATTTAATTTAAGGTGTGCGAAAGAGAGTCAACTTAAATGTGACCGACTCTCATAATTTTCTTTAACTTGTCACTAACTTACAATACAAGAATTTATTATCTGACAGTAATTTACTTTAAGCTTCATATTCTAAAAAATTAGATTTTGTTTTAAAAAAACATTTTAAATCTTAAAGGTATATTGGATTAATATTTACTAAATTTTATAAATGTTAAAAAAGTAAACACTTTTATTATAAATAATGAATATTTTATTATATTAAAATAACTAAATTAATGACATAATGGCTTTATTTAAGAGTTATTTTTTATGTTATGAAACTTCTTTTATATTGAGTATATGATATTATTTATATTCAATTTTAATTTTTATAAGTTTTTTAAAATTTTATTTTTGATTTTGTCTTGTTTATATAATAATAATAATAATAATAATAATAATAATAATAACAATAATAATGATAATAATAATATTATTATTATTATTATTATGTTTATTATTTTATAAAATTTATTATTTTAAAAGTAGTATTGCATATACATCGGAAATATCGGGTTTAAGAGTAAAAGATTGTGATAATTTGCGCAAAAATTTCTCCACCAAAAGCCCACTAACCAAAGTAGACACTGAGAATTAAAGTTTGTGACAGCAATAGATTGCATTTGTGTGGCTTAAAATAATAAGGATCTACCAAAATGTCGATGAAGGAGACAAATTCTTTAGGTATAACACATACATAAGCATGCGAATTGGAAAAGATAAAAACATGAGAGAAATAAATTTTAATTATATAATTACAATTTAAGTTTAAGTTTAAATAATTATACATAAATAATGAAAATTAAGTTAATGAATTTAAATTTTAACCATACATAAAGCTACTAATTTTGGAAAAAAAAAAACTTGAAAACGGAGAACGTTACGTTAATTATTAATAAAAAAAAGTCATTTAAATATAAAACATGAAATAATGAAATTAGGGTCATCAAAGGGATGAATTGAATATATTTTGAATTCAATAATCATAGAGGGATAAAAAATAAACTATTATTTTATTTGATTCACTCAAAATATGTTAAAAATTCTAATATATTTATAATCTATTTAATAAAAATTCAACAAACTCATTTATTAAATATTTTTAATGATAAATCTCCAACTCATCCATCTAAAATATATTCTATTTTATTTTTTAAAATAATTGTAAAATCTAAGTTTAATATTTATACACGTTCATTTATACTGTTTGATCATCAAATTCCACTTTTACTGATTCCATTTATCATACGCATCAAGTATAGTCAAGTCTAAATTTCATCCCATTTTGGCATTTGAACTTTTTAGCAGGTGTTGAACGCCATCGAATTTATTTTATATATACATTTTTACTCCCACATGATGTTTAACATTTGTTCCAACTTTGACTACAAATTTACTTGCTGCATGTCTTTTGAAAAAAAAAAAAAAACTTTTGCTACCTTTCTTGTTAGGTATCAAGAAATACATAAAATGATATTCAGTATAAGGAATATGTTGTCAAATTAGCAATTCAGAGTTGCCTGAGACATAGCCAGAAACATCGAACAAAGAACTACATGTGTTAACTCGAGGTGATCGAAGAAGGTAGAAGTGATTAGGGCCTGTACTTGCATTCAGCCTATGTCTCTTACAAGTCTAAAGTAAACTTACATATTATTCAAGGAAGAGCGAGACTTGTATTATACTGTTGAAATATTCCCCCCAATTAATGGTCACATTTTTTGAAAATTATTTATGGAGCTTCTAATAAATTTTTGCGTTAAAATTATAGTGTAACTATTTTAAATTTGATGTCTTTTAAACTATAGTCGTATGCTTCCCTAATATATAGCTCGTAAGGGTTCCATTTAACGTTCATGTAAGCTTTAAACATATATAATCCTCTCATTAAATGTAGTCTAACACTTCTCCCATTGTGAAATAATAATAATAATAGTTTAGAGTTAAATCAACAAGTAACTTCTTATCACTATCCTTATTAACATTCTTTGTGGATCCATTTCAAAATACAAAACCGGAGTTATCATCATGGTTAACTTCACAAATTGGTTTGAGTCTCATTTACCTTATAATGTTTCATTTAATAACTTTACCTCCAAAGGTAAAGTCAAAAGATAGACTAAATTTCACATAATTAATATATATAATTCTATCTTTTGACAACTACTTCACCACTTTATGTCTCAATCTTATGTATTTGTCTCTATAACTAAAGGTCTTATTATTATTTTTTGCAATAATTATTATCACTTTACAACTACAATGCATAAATATACGTGTTAGTTTATTCCTAAGAGAATACTAGCCAAAAAGTTTCTCATTGAACTTCATTATCAATCAATTCTAAAACAACAAACTTTGACTATATAGTAAATTAATTATAGTAGTCATCCAACCAAAGTTTAAAAAGAGAAGATATGAATCTTATTTTTAAATGTGTTCTAGAATACAATATTATCCCAAAAAGATAGAGAAAACATTTTGAAGTACTTATCATGAATTTATATACTTGAAGCTATTGAAACTGATATTAATAGGAGGGCATAAGTAATGACCTAGCTTTAGGTAGTAGTCTCAATAGGAGGGCATAAGTAATGGTGCAAATTCTTGCATATTATAAGACACTTTCGAAATGAACAAACAAATATAAACTATCTAGGATCTCAATTTCTAAAACATTTCTCTCCTCGAAAAACATTGCTCTCCTCCTAAAGTTGACAAGGAGTACAGAAAGATTAAATTTAGCTTTAGAGTTAGTGCATATACTTACCTCTAAAGAGAGCATAAGTCAATTAAATCTAGCTTTAATTAGAGTTAAATAGATATATTGATCTATTTCTATTTTTTTTATCAATCCATATTTTTATTTCTTTTCTTTGTGCTTGTCATTTATAGTTTGCTGAGTAAAAATACATGGATCTTTGATTTTTAGAGAGAAGCTTAAGATTATTTTTTAGTGTAATTTAAACTATTTTAACAAAATACTAGCATTAAAAATATTTTGGAAAGCAGTTTAACATTATCTTAGAGGGTGGTTGAAGTTATTATTGTTGTTGTTATTATTATTATCAAAATATATTGACAGAAAAAAATAAATATTTTAAAAAGACACTTTAAAATTTGACATACAAATTGTTAGTAATTGAATATATCATTAGTGCAACATTCTACGTTAATTGATAATTAATGGATTTAATAAAAAAATTGATAACATTTTTTTAAAATAGCATGAGATTATTGTGATGATTTATAAGTAACCCTAATTTTAAAGTATCAGTTGATACATTGACCCCTGAAATTTAAATGGCAAGCTGGTTGTACCTTAATAATTATTTTAGAAAATTTTAGTACTTTGAAACGTTTGTACCTAATTTTGATCTACTGCATAAAGTATAGACTTATCAATGAAACGTGGTGTAGGTGTTAGAAAGAAAAGAAATATATGAAAAAACAAAAGGAGCACTTAAACTAACCCAAAAAACTGAATGGAAAATATAGAATGAAAATTGAGTTGAGAAGGAAAACCGAAAAGAAAATGAGAAAAGAAATAATGAAAATTGAGAAAGCAAATTAAGGAGGAAACAATGGTTGTGGTAGAAAATATTTTTCATTTTAAATTGGTTCTGCTATAAGTAATGTAGAAAATTGTTATTATATCAAGTGTATTTAAATTATTTTTATCAACCGGTGTGAAATATCATTTCTAATAGATGTAAAAAGTGATTTTTATGCTTAGGCCTTTAAATAATTGCTCAAAGTTTTTTTCTTAATTATTTTTTGAAAGGAGATTAAAGGAACGTAAGCGGCCCAATAAGAGGAAAAACCACATAAGAATACCTTGGGGAAAGTGGTCCCTAAAATTACACCAGTAGGTTAGAGACAATGGAACAAAATTAGAAACAATAATACACCAAACAATTCAAATTTGTTTGTATATCTGGGTAGGTGTTGAAGCCATCACACGCGCCACCTGAATCTACAACCTTATTTTGTGTCGTCGTCGACTAAACATTCTTTTTGGCTTTTGAATTGTCTTCTTCCTGTGTACGTAAAACGTGGCTGTTTTATCTTTTTCATTAGTTTTTGTTTCCCATGTTATAGTCTATGCATGATCAAAATCTCTCTCTTTGTATTAGGATAGATTAATATTTAATTTTTACTAAATCGAATATTCTTAATTAAAATTTTCAGTTAAATAAAAGACATATCATTAAATTGTATAAGCTTTTAAAAGAAAAATAATCATATTATTATTATTATTAAATTTAATACATTGATTTGAAGAAAGATTGTTGTATGTAATGCGTAACATGACGAGAATTGAGTTCTACAGCGACGATAATTCCCCTTCTTCCACATTTATTGGAGAATGAGCCATCCTTTTACCACACTCAATATTTGTACGCAACGTGAGAACTATATATACTGATTATAGTATAAATTTATAATAAAAAAAAGTTTAGATTGGCTTGTAGTATTACGCGTTTTAGTTCTTGAGGCACACTAATTAGATTAGCTTTTGAATTGTCATTAAGAAAAGGTGTTGCTATTTATTGATACGTACAAATTTCATTTTTTTTATTTCTTTCTTAATTTATGATTTTTTCTCGATTAAACTCAGCTACATTAATTCTTATGCATTTCGTATAAAAACTTTTTGAACGGAATAACATTAGTTTTGTTTAAAGGATTTTACTGAATAATGCCCATTCGAATCTGCACTCTCATTTTTATTGGTTAATTGTCATTTATTCTTAAGCATTTTAATCTCTCCTTTGGCTTATTATTTTTCTTCATTTAAACTCAATCATGTCATTTTATATGTTTTGGAAGAGTTTATGAATAAGTCGTTAGAAAAAAAATAATATAAAAAACCAATAATTCTTTTATAAATTCAAAGTAATTTAACTCTTTAATTTTAATTTATAAAAAATTATTTGATTTTATTAGTTATTTTACTCTTATAAATTTTTATGTAAAAATTTATTCAAATTATACATTTTTGTAAAACTTTTCAAACGAAATAGAATCAATTGCTCTTTTGCAAGGTGTTTTGCTGAACAAGAACACTAATTCGATTATTCTCTACGCCTTAATTGGTTAATTCATTTATTGTTACATATTTCAAAAAAAAATTTCTTCTTTGATTGAACTCGGCTACGTCAGTTCTTATGTATTGTGTGTAAAACTTTTTGAACGAAATAATATTACTCATTTTCAAACAAGAATAAGGTGTTATAACTAGAAAGATAATCAAAAGATGTGGATGTAATTTCTCATTATCAGATTTAAGTAAACATTTAATGAAATTATTTTTATTTTAAACCTCTCATTATTGATACGATATTAAGAGTAAACTCTAATCAAAATCTGTATTATTTTCCTTTTACCATCGACTGGATGGTATAGGAACCATTGTAATGTAAAACAAAACAGTTCCTTACTGTTGTTAAACAAAACTACTAGTAAATTGTTAATTTCTTATTAAAAAAAAAACGTCGGATCAATATTCTAAAATTAAGAATGTCATTAAAAAGGTCTTTCAAATTTTTTAACAATTAAATTAATTTTTTAAAGATGTAAATTATTTCTACGTTAGTTTTCTAAAAGATGTTGTCACTAAATTTGTCCTACAAATTGAGATTTATTTTCTCCCTAAATTAGTCTTTCAAAAATTTTAAATTTCACCATATTTATTTTAAAATCGCTTAAAATGGTGAAAAGAAAGAATTTAACTTAGTAATAAATTAAATTTTAGAAAAATCTAAGTTTTTACTAAATTAATCTTTATAAAAGAATAAGTAATGTCAAAATAATTAATATTGTGACAACAATTTTAAAATACTAACGTGATAAGATTTAAATTTTTAAAGAATTAATTTAATGGCTGAATAATTTTTTTCCTTCTTGGAAAAATCTAAGTGGTAATACTTTGACCAAATTAAACATTTTCTCGTTTATTATTCTACAGCAATAAATGTGTACTTATTCATGTTTCGTGCTATACGCTATCTACTTGAACTAAATTTAATCAGGATGTTTGAATCAAAAGAGATTCTCAACTTATTTAAAGTGATGAACTTCCATGTGTAAGTAATTTTCCTCTTCAGAAGTTGATTAACTATAGTAAGAAGTACAATATATACTTATGCTTACTCCAAAATTGATTCATAAATGCTAAAAGAGAAATTGATCTAAAAGTTATGAAAATATGTACATGAAATTAACATTCGCCGAATCAGCCTCAAAATTCGTTTCAGGTTTACCGATAAGAATTGAATACAGCTTAAGATAAAATTTAGTTGCAGAGTATTATAAGTATTTTTGTTCATTAAGATTGAAGTTTTAGTTAGATAAGATGCTTATTTACCTAGCATTGGAAAAGTGCTTATTTACCTAATTCACACGTTTCTCATTATTCCTGATATTCTTCTAGATTCTTAATCGACACTACGAGCCCCCATGATTTTTCCAAAAATAAGGCCAAGCTCAACCCACCTGTCCGCCACGCTTGAAAATGAGAGATGCATGCATGTTATTTGCTTAATTTCAATCATCAACCTGTGTCTTACTATTCTAAACGTGTATATCACTATATTAAATTTTAATATAAAGTTTATCATTTGAATTTTGTTTGGTAGTTTAGCATTGAATAGGGTAAACCAAAATAATATTGGTATGCCGTTTGATTTGCAACAATCTGTCATATATGCCTGCAAAGAAATGCAATCATTTTTGGGGAAAAGTTGTTGATGTACACATTCTTGATCACACTATAAATAAATCATGGCATTGAATTAAGGTTAGATTTTGGTTTAATATAAAATATCAAATCCATATATTCACCTACACAGTTGAGATAAAATAATATCAAGTCTCAAACTTAATAAAATCATTAAATTAAAAGTTATAAGAAGTATTCTTATAACTTTTTATTCAAATTTAATTTTATCGATCATATTTTTTATTCTTGTAATATTATATTATTGTGAATATTATGTATATACAATTTTACATTATTTGAATATTTATAAATATATAAGGCAAATAAAATATCAATTAGTATTTAAATGATACAAAATTGATGAACATGATATATTTTATAAGAACAACATTAAATTAAACGGTTATATTAAAAGTTAATTTTATCAATCATATTTTTTTATTCTCGTAATATTATATTATTGTGAATATTATTTATATAAAATTTACATGATTTAAATACTAATAAATATATAAGGTAAATAAAATATCAATCAGTATTTAAA